TAAACACACAAGTATAAAGATTCAAATTTCTCCTTTTTCTTGCGCTAGTGTTTGTGCTTGTCGACGTCCGTTTTCACTTGGTATACTTACCTAAAGCTTGCCGGTGTTTGTGCCGCCTACACCTGTTCTTGCGTCGCTAGTGGAAAATCAGGCTTAATCGATGTAAGAGGGAAAATTTACAGTAGTTGCTTCTCTAGCTTCACTTCACAGCTTGATCCTTCCATGCAAATATGTGCTTGCTGGCATGCAGAGAAGACAATCGTTTAATGTTTACAGGTTTGTTTCCCTATGCGTGACTTAAGATCTTAAAATTTGGTGATTTACAACGTTGTGTTGCATGGAGCAGCGATTTTATTTTTTGTATCACAAAGAAAGGAAGTTAACTGCTGAAGTCGGAACCATTTTTAACTCGTGGGTACGCGATAGCGTAGAAACGATTTGTTCTGGGCACTTTGGGATATGCAAATTGGCGCGGACTCTTCGTAATTAGTCGGCTCCGAACTCGAGATCTGTCCTTCCGAAGAAATCCGAAGTCCTGGTGCCATTGTGATTGCATCACTCGTTGCGATGTTTATTATCTTTACACGGCTGGTTAGACATTTACTAAATTGAAATATTTCAGATTAGTGCTATGATCAACTTAAAGGCCAAAGTTGAAGGGTCTTCGAATTGTCCATATGCATGCGTTAAACATAACGAGGAGCAGCGAGAATCACGAAGAGTTTGTGAGTGACAGAGCAAGCTGTTGACATGGAAATTCCCACGGAAATATGTACCCATGAGATAAAAAACGATAATTTACAGCATTATTTCTTTCGTTTCAGGTTTTTTTTTCGGACGCTTCGGCAGTTACGCCAATTTCGGCCTTTTCATTATGGTCGTCTTTCTTTGCAAACGTACTGTTTTATGGTAAGAATGAAATATGATCAGTTTCTACAAGTCTTTGCCGAGCACGTGACCATTATCTGGTCGGTGTTATTTTGACCACTTGACGATCTTTTTCGCTTAAGACACAGGACCACTTCCTATTTCAATGAATGTTTTTCCAATTAATTTCTCTCGAATACGTGTAAAAAAAATATAAACATATGCGTGTACTGAAAAGCAAATGGGAAATTCAAAACTACGAGAAATTTCGAGTAATCGGCCTCTTCTGCTACACGCGGGTTTTTTTGGTGTAACATGCGTGTGTTTCCCATAAGTCACAAGCACTTTACGCACGTGCGAATGCTGCAATCACGGTACAAGCAGTGCAAGGTAGAATGGTTATTTTCAACCTGGAGTAATTATGTGCGATATTTTGCTTCATCACACTTTGCCATTTCTACCACTTAAATATTAATTCAGAGAAGGGGGGAGGGGGGGGGGGTGAGGGTGAGGGTGAGGTTAAAATTCCAAGAGATAGGCTAACAATGTGCCGTTGGATAGGGTCGCATTTTCACGACTGCATTGACTTTTATGGCGTTGCATTTTCGGCTGTTTTCAGTAGAGTTACTAGAATGGGGTTATACATTTTTGAGACTTTGACTTTGAAAAGGAAGATTCACTGTAAAAAAAGTCGTAACCGTATTTTAATATATAGTAAACGGCTACCATTCCATTCTGGCCTTGCCCAAAAGCGGACAAAGATACAAAATACAGCCGATAGCATAAAAACAAATTTACCTGGTTTGACGAACTTACTCTGCTAGCTGTTTATTGTCGTTATCATTTGTTTGACGGATATATGTAAGGAAACGAAGCGTTGATAAAATTCGTTGTTCTCCTACGTCACCCTTTGCCAACACGTCACTTAGTGTTGGCGCGATCTTTTCGGGGTTTATGGACGGGTTTATTGTAATTTTAACCCACGTCGCGGCTCGTACTTTTTGCCTCTGTTTACCGCTTGTAATTGAGTCCATCTTGTGTTTAAATCTCCTTATTTTTTCGCTGACTGTGCGGCCAACGCGATCGCAGGAGGATTCATTTAGCTTGTAGCCGAGAGGCAGAATGCTCGCTTGAAGTGAATCAAATACCCCACGAGGCAGCCAGTAAAACACTCCACATTTCCAGGCTGCTTCACCGCTCATTTGAACTGTGTACACTGGATTTCTTTCCTCAAGAAAAGGTGGAACTACTTGTATAAGATTAGAGTGGATCGGGGGTTCTATAAGCTCTGAAAAGAGCTCCCGATCACGATCATTTTTTTTTTGATCATTCATCATCGCGTGGCCTAGTTGCATCACAGGCGGCCCAAGCTCCAGCTGTGAGATGATCATCTTGCAAAATAAGAGTCATGGCGAGATTATATGAGTTTGTATGGAAATATTTACGACCGCTCTAAGGAATAAAAAATACACTCAAATTCTCAATAAAAAATACCTCACCTTACTTCCACAGTGCATCGTTTGCTTTCTGACCGCTTACTATGTTGAAAAGAACCCATTTTGGCGAGTTATCCATTTCCTACGTACATTATAAGAAAAGCCCGTAATAAACCAGCTGATGCACTAAGATCATTTAGGTAGCCAGCCTAATTTATCAAAAAGTTCTACGGAGCTGTCATTAATGGTGGCATCCAATGTTAATTTCGCACATCGTTTTTGTACTTGTAGCAGCCTTAGAAGGTTTTCAACAGAACAGTTACCCCAAACAGTACGACAATAATCAAGAATTGGCTTAATGAGAGCATTAAATAACATTTTTCTGCATTCAATAGTTAAATAGACTTTAGCTCTCTAAAGAAAACATATTTTAGAGTTCGGCTTTTTTATTAGATAGTCGATATGTAAGTTACAGGAAAAATGGGGAATCAATTACGACACCGACTGATTCCTCAAGTCTTGCGATCAATCAATCAATCAATCAATCAATCACTCTTTATTCTTCATGAGATAAAAAGACATATCTTAAGTTACATCAGCAGTTAGGAGTCTAAAAATACATATGACATACTGTATAAAATAATAGAAAGATCAAAGATTATATTTAAAGATAAGCCTATTTACAAAAACATTCTTTTGCGTTTTCAATGAAAAGCTCCAATGTAGTTATTTCGCTGTGATAGAGTTTCTTAGCAGTACCAATAAGTAAGTGCTTGGTCTTTTTGATGTTAGGTTGCATTCCATTAAGTTTAAACCAACTGTTTGCTTTACTTATTTCCGTATTTAGTTTGTTGTAGTTGGGTGTAGTTGGCCCCGCTCAACCAATAGTTAAATTTTGCGCGACTAGTAATTTTAAAACTGCGAGAAATTGTGGTTGTCGTTCACCAATTTTCCAAGTTAACACGAGTTCTGTTTCAGGAAAGATCCATCTTCCATTTCCCGCTCTTAGGTATTTGGAAGCCAGTTTGAGTTTTTGAAAAATCGCTTTTGAAATCGGCACTCATGCCAAAAATATCCGTTTTTTCTTCATTTTCAAAGGCTCAGGAATAGTCCTTATACTTTCTCAAACTTCTTCTTTTTAAGCTTAAATCTAAGATTAACTCTTCCTCTTCAAAACCTCGCTCTTGGGTTTCTCCCTTATTGCTTCTGGCAACTGAAAAAGCGAATTTTATCAACACTGCTGCGCTAGTTTCGGCCCTTTCTTCACTAATTATGGGCTTTTCAAGGCGCGAGTGCATTCAAATCTCCCGCTTCAGTGCTGATGAATAATTAATGATGTCCAGGTATTCTGCGCGATGACTGATCAATTCTTTTGATCAATTTTCTCCAAATTACAGTAATTGAGAGAAATAGGTTTGTGACTCCTGCGCATGTCTTGAAAAACTCGCGATCGATTGTATCAATGACTTCTGTTACATCGTGCAAAACTCGCGATTGTGTTTATGACTTCTGTTAGATCGTGCAAAACATTGCGATATGTTGTCGGGGACTGGGGAACACACTACGCTATTATGTAACCGTTGGCACCCAATAAGTTGTCTGTTCAAAGCAATGTGATTTAAGTAAGCCTTTGACCATGATCGTGTGAAGACCTTGTGAAACCTGTGACTGTTCATTAAAGTTACAAAATCGATTCTGTGACCTTCTTGGATACTGACTTCAGCGGCCGGAGAATTCCAGGAAAGTGCGCCCGTTTCCCTCTCTATCTTTCTTCTTTTACTTATTGCTTTCTTTCCTCTTTCTTTTCTTCTTTCTTTTTTTCACATTTTTTTTCCCAAAAATGAGGTATGGGTCAATTCTAGGCCTGTCGCGATTGTGCTCGTAAAATGCGGGAGAGCTTCTCACTGGAATGCCTAAAAGTTGCTTAAAATATTGCCAAAAATAAAAAAGTTGCTACCTAAGGTTCTTGATATTTTTGCGTAAACGTACATTTAAGGCTTTATTTTTCGTTATTCGCAATTATTGTTACCACTGATCAAGAAAAATAGCTTAAAACTTGGCTTTAAATAGCTGCTCGCAAACATGAGCGACATTTAAGGATACTTAAGTCTAACAGGACAAAACGCAAGGTTCATTTGACGTCTCGCCGAACGTCATTTTAGCCAATTATCTGTGACAATATTAGATAAAGATCGCAATAAATTGTCAATTGACAAGTTATGTGTTAGTTTTTTCTATGAAATCGTCGACTTTTTCATGCTTGATAAGTGCTCTAAACATATATTTTACCCGAAAAATGCTCTGAAAAGCGAAATTGCTGCAAGTTGATTAAAGTTGCTCCAAACACCAAAAGTTGCTGGACACAATTGGGACAGGCCTAGCCTAGTCTCGTACCATGATCTTCATCGGCCAAGCGGTGAAAAAGTTCTTTCATTACAGTTACACGGTAGGATCTGCGTACAAGATTAGTATCGATCATCTGAAAGACTATAGTCAGTGAGTAATCTTGTCATATTTTCATTCCGATGGTTGGTGGGATCGGGGAAGTCAACAACGTAGAAAATCTTCGCGTGGAACTGTCATTTTGTTTGAGAAGCACGGGCTCCTTTTTGAATAGCGGATGTTTATGCTCCACAGTAAGTACGTCATGTATATGGGAATTATTGTCCCCGATACACATTATGTCCTATACTTTAAGACGCCGACATACCATATAACCATCCTCAGTACAAGAAAGACAATTTTTATGGCGGATAGGGAGGATTCACCGAATTCACGCAGATGTTGCAATTGGGCATGGATGTTGACCACGGTGGAAGGATGGGTGAAACTTATCGAGACGGTAGCGACTTTCTTAGCGGCTGTTCTTACGCTTTGCTACAAGTTCTATAACTATTGGACGGGATACAAATATCAAATCGGCATAGCCACCTGCGCGTTCGTCTTCCTGGTCCTGTACATCATTTTCAGAAGCTTACGATGTTTCGAGAAGGTGCCACCGATGCTTGGAATGATCGGATATTTTCTTCTCTCGGTAACCTTATTCGTTGGCTCTGGAATTGTGTACCATGATGGCAACATCTATATAAAAGGGGAAGTAATGATTGGATCAGGTATTTGTGGCTTCATAGCTGCTAGTTTGTTCTTTTTTGAAGCGATTTATTATCTCTTTGTCTTCGTTAGTCGCCGATCACCTCCACGCCATGATTATGGAGAAACTCTAACTAGTGAAAAGCATGGTCCAGCGGCTGTTTAGCTAGAGCTGATATAAACAGAAGAGCTGATGCATACAGAAAGATGTTTACGCTTCGATTGAAACACGAAGTTAGTTGTTACGAGGTAAAATCTCACAGCAGAATGTTGTATATTATTTTAATTTACCTACTTGAGATACAAAAAGAATAAATTTGGGATGTCTGAGAAGAACAATGAAATTTATCGTAGGTTTGATAAAATCAAGCTTACCTCGATGTCAAGCTTCAGTTCACAATGTTAAGAGACAATATTGTGTTAAACGATAAAAATTGAAATATATCTTATCTAAAAACATTGTAAGCGTTTACTATATTGGTGTTGGAAAATGAATGGAAATAAATATTTGCATAGGCCATTCAATAGACATTATAATAAGCCACTTAATCATTTCTTATTCCTTTTGGCGGTTTTACCTTACAGGTAGAGTTTGGTTAACATTTCCTTGTTATGATCGTGAATTTGACATGGAGACAGATGTTTTTGCGTAAACTACGGGTCGCGGCTAGATATCAGTGCATTCCATTATGTTGCTAAAAGATAATTAATAACTAAGAAAATGATTCGACATTATAAAAATTGATCCCGTATAGGAATTTCCGTGAAATAAGCCTCCTTTGTACTTTTAACTATTTAATACTCTCGTTTTTAGGCTAAATCCATGTCGAATTCCCGATCAGGAAAATAGTTTTTAATTTTAATTAAGTATGTTTGACACCTCTTTTTCTTACTGGTGACTCAAGGTGTAAACATGTGGTACTCTTCATCTTCCGCACTGAATTTGAATCAGATAACGTATACGACTGGCATGTAGCTCCTTTTGGGGGCGCCACCTTGGCTATACCCTTTCTTCTCCGAGTTTTGTGTTTATTCTGCTGTTATGCAACAGCCGTCAAGGACTATTTTCTCTTAAGATGAGATCTTAAGATCTGATTTTAATTCTGTTTGTAAGTTTATTACAATTTTTATATTGTCAATCTTGTTTTTGTTTTGCCCGAACTTGACCGTAAGACCAAGAAATTTAAGTTAGAAAGACATTTTGTAAAGCGTAAACATCAATTAAATTATTGAAATGAAGCAGTAGGACTTCACAGACCCTAGTTTCATTGTTGGAACGGTTTCTGCTGCTTTAGTCTGATTGCCACGAAAGACACAAGCAACACAACTCTTATTTCACCGTGTAGACGGCCTCGACGTAAGCACAAACAGAAGTACTCATAAAGTCATGAAGATCAAATGTCTCCTTTTTCTTACGCTAGTGTTTGTGCATGTCGACGTCCGTTTTCACTTGGCATATTCACCTAAAGCTTGCCTGTGCTTGCGTCGCTAGTGAAAACCAGGCTTAATCGATGTAAGAGGAAAAATTTATAACAGCTTAAAAGTCCATTTAAAGAGAAGGACCTTGACCCTAAAATTGCCTTCTTGCTACCAACTGTTAGTGGAAAAAAAGATGAAAATGGGAATTTTTTTCTTGACAAAAATCATCTACATCATTTTCAAGTTCAGACTAGCATGGCAATTTCAGGTTTAAAAACTTGCCATTTTGTTACCAATAAAAGTAAAGGGATATTTATTGTTACAATTAATTTTAATGATAAGTTTTGCGAAACTGTTGTAGCAACAGTTTACAAGTTTTACTGTGAGCAAATAGTTCCATCTTTCCTGATGGAAGCCTTACCTCATGACAATTTTCACACAAAAAAGTTATTCCCAAGTGGAGTAGATCAACAAATTCAGTAAATAAAAGTTTTTGCTTCTGCAGTGTGCTTCTTACTTCATGCTTCTTTGACATAAATTAGTTAAAGCAGCATAAACAAAAATAATTCTATTCAACATTGGTTTTAAAAAAGAGGAAAAACCTCCTCAAAGAATTCTAAATTGCTTCAATTTCAAAATTTTTCTTAAATTTTGCGCGACTAGTAATTTTAAAACTGCGAGAAATTGTGGTTGTCGTTCACCAATTTTCCAAGTTAAAACGGGTTCTGTTTCAGGAAAGATCCATCTTCCATTCCCGCTCTTAGGTTTTTGGAAGCCGGTTTGAGTTTTTGGAAAATCGTTTTTGAAATCGGCACATACTAAAAATGTCCGTTTTTTCGTCATTTTCAAAGGCTCAGGAATAGTCCTTATACTTTCTCAAACTTCTTCTTTTTAAGCTTAAATCTAAGATTAACCCTTCCTCTTCAAAACTCGCTCTTGGGTTTCTCACTTATTGCTTCTGGCAATTGAAAAAGCGAATTTTATCAACTCTGCTACGCTAGTTTCGGCCCTTTCTTCTCTAATTATGGGCTTTTCAAGGCGCGAGTGCATTCAAATCTCCCGCTTCAGTGTTGATGAATAATTAATGATGTCCAGGTATTCTTCGCGATGTGACTGATCATTTCTTCTGGTCAATTTTCTCCAAATTACAGCAATTGAGAAAAATAGGTTTGTGACTCCTGTCCATGTCTTGAAAGACTCGCGATCGATTGGATTAATGACTTCTGTTAGATAGTGCAAAACTCGCGATTGTGTTTATAACATCTGTTAGATCGTGCAAAACATTGTGATATGTTGTCGGGGACTGGAGCACACACTACGCTATTATGTAATCGTTGGCTACGGAAATATGTCAATTAACCGGAAAGTACACACCCAATAAGTTGTCAATCCGAAGCAATGTGATTTAAGTTAGCCTTTGACCGTGATCGTGCGAAGACCTCGTGAAACCTGTGACTGTTCATTAAAGTTACAAAATCGATTCTGTGCCCTTCTTGGATACTGACTTCAGTGGCCGGAGAATTCCAGGAAAGTGCGCCCGTTTCCCTCTCTATCTTTCTTCTTTTACTTATTGCTTTCTTTCCTCTTTCTTTTCTTCTTTCTTTTTTTCACATTTTTTCCCAAAAATGAAGTATGGGTCAATTCTAGGCCTGTCGCGATTGTGCTCGTAGAATGCGGGGGACTTGCTCACCGGAATGCCTAAAAGTTGCTTAAAAAATTGCCAAAAATAAAAAAAAAATGCTACCTAAAGTTCTTGATATTTTAGCATAAACGTACATTTAAAGCTTTATTTTTCGTTATTCGCAATTATTGTTACCACTGGCCAAGAAATATAGCTTGAAACTTGGCTTTAAATAGTTGCTAGCAAATATGGGCGACATTTAAGGATACTTGAGTCTAACAGGACAAAACGCGAGGTTCATTCAGTTGACGTCTCGCCGAACGTCATATGAAATATGAAAAGTCATATGAAAAGTCATTTTCTATGAAATCATCGACTTTTTCATGCTTTATAAGTGCTCTAAACCTATGTTTTTCTTAAAAATTGCTCTGAATAGCGAAATTGCTGCAAGTTGCTAAGTTGCTCCAATCGCCAAAAGTTGCTCAAAAGTTGCTCAAAAGTTGCTGTACACAATTGGGACAGGCCTAGTCTAATCTCGTACCATGACCTTCATTGGCCAAGCGGTGGAAAAGTTCCTTCATTTCAGATACACGGTAGGATCTGCGTACAAGATTAGTATCGATCATCTGAAAGACTATAGTCAGTGAGTAATCTTGTCATATTTTCATTCCGATGTTTGGTGGGATCAGGGAAGTCAACAACACAGCAAATCTTTGAGTGGAACCGTCATTTTGTTTGAGGAGCACGGGCTCCTTTCTGGATAGCGGATGTTTATGCTCCACAGTAAATACGTCATGTATTTAGGAATTATTGTCCCCAATACATATTGTGTCCTATGCTTTGAAACGCCGACATACCATATAACCATCCTCAGTACAAGAAAGACAATTTTTATGGCGGGTAGGGAGGATTCACCGAATTCACGCAGATGTTGCAATTGGGCATGGATGGTGACCACGGGGGAAGGATGGGTGAAACTCATCGAGACGGTAACGACTTTCTTAGCGGCTGTTCTTACGCTTAGCTATGAGTTCTATCGCTACCGGACGGGATACAAATATCAAATCGGCATAGCCACCTGCGCGTTCGTCTTCCTGGTCCTGTACATCATTATCAGAAGCTTACGATGTTTCGAGAAGGTGCCACCGATGCTTGGAATGATCGGATATTTTCTTCTCTCGGTAACCTTATTCGTTGGCTCTGGAATTGTGTTCCATAATGGCAACATCTATATGAAAGGGGAAGTAATGATTGGATCAGGTATTTGTGGCTTCATAGCTGCTAGTTTGTTCGTTTTTGAAGCGATTTATTATCTCTTTGTCTTCGTTAGTCGCCGATCACCTCCACGCCATGATTATGGAGAAACTCTAACTAGAGAAAAGCATGGTCCAGCGGCTGTTTAGCTAGAGCTGATATAAACAGAAGATCTGATGCATACAGAAAGATGTTTACGCTTCGATTGAGACACGAAGTTAGTTGTTACGAGGTAAAATCTCACAGCAGAATGTTGTATATTATTTTAATTTACCTACTTGAGACACAAAAAGAATAAATTTGTGATGTCTGAGAGGAACAGAGAAATTTATCGTGGGTTTGATAAAATCAAGCTTACCTCTATGTCAAGCTTCAGTTCATTATGTTAAAAGACAAAATTAGCATTTGGCAAGACAGGTGTTTTTTGACTTCTTTGAACGTTGAAAACGAATGGAAATAATATATTAGCATAAACCTTACTGTGATTGTGAATTAACATGGTGACAGATGTTTTTGCGTAAACTGCGATTTGCGGCTAGATGTCAGTATAGTCCCATTGTGTTTCTAAAAAGATGATTAAGTGCCACTCTCGCGGTCCTCTCGACTTCCCGTCGGAAAAAAGTTTTCTTTTATTTTTTGACCATGAAAAGGGTTTAGGACACATGTTTCAAAAATAGTTTAGTTGTTCTCCAATTGTCTATTTCTGCGTCGCCACAAGCCACAAATGATTTTTAGCCAGACCACCCCCTGTGGACAACGATCGAAAGTGTAAATTTCAAAGATTTTGTCCAGCACGCAGCGACTGCAACAATGTAGCTCACGGAATTCTATCTCGCTACAAGTTACAAGGTGTATTCAGTTAGTTCACACACAAAATAAGGAAACTTCTGCTGAAATATTTTTCATACCGGCGTGATCAGAGGAGACCCTTCTCTTCGACCTTAATTTGCATATCAAAAATTCACTACTTTGTACGAAAGAATTCTCAAAATGCAGGCGTTAATCGGGCTGAAAAAGCATATCAGTGCATAGTTTATACACCAATGAGGTCACGGATTGCCATAATTTTCATGATTCTTAGAATTGACCAAGATCCCCTTTTGCGCAAGCGTAACGACCGATCACGTTTACGCAACGTTTTAAGACAACTCGGCATCTAATCTCCATTCAGTTGCTGTGAAAACCTAAAATCCTCAACGTAGAAAATAAATGAAGTTTTAACAGTCAAAAGGAGATCTTGGTCAATTCTAAGAATCATGAAAATGATCTTTGATACGAGTGCAATTGAGCAAACACATGGATTTGCGTTGTTTTTAAGAAGTTGGTAGATGGAAGCTAGAGATAAGGTTTGAGGTTTACACTTTCGATCGCTGTCCACAGGGGTGGTCTGGCCAAAAATCATTTTTGGCTTATGGTGACGCAAAAAAGAAAATTGGAGAACAACTAAACTACATTTGAAACATGTGTCCTAAACCCTTTTCATGGGCAAAAAAAAAGAAAACTTTTTTCCGACGGGAAGTTGAGAGGACCGCTCTTAGCGGGAGCGGCACTTAATAACTAAGAAAATGACCCTACCTTATAAAAATTGATCCCGTACAGGAATTTCCTGGAAATAACCCTCCCAATGCTTTACCTCTATAATATTCTCGTTTTTAGGCTAAATCCATGTCGAATTCCCGATCCAGAAAATAGTTTTTAAATTTTAATTTAGCACGTTCGACACCTCTTTTCCTTACAGGTGACTTAAGGTGTAAACATGTAGTGCTTTTCATCTTCCGCACTAAATTTGAATCAAGTTTAAATTGTAATGATAATACCAATAAAGAAGGCATAAACCTATCATCCTCTAGCGTCTTTTTTTGTCTTGCGTGTCGATCGTAAACATCATTAGATCCCAGACTCTGCGCTTAATGGTCAATGTCTTTCCCAGTCTTTTCCCTACCAATGTTGCGTGCCTTGCATATCGCCTCGCACTTGGCTTAGTTTTTGTGCCTAGGGCCAGGCCGTGGCCGTGGCCGTAGGCACTATGCTATTGCCGTTCGTGTAAACAATAGAAATTATAACATAGCTAGCAGAGCCGCGCAATCAAATTCAGTATGCGTAAGCGTGCTCAAAATCTCGATAGTGCACGCTGATAGCGTGAGCAAATCGCTTCGCCAGAAATTTAAAAATAAAGAATTTTGTATTTAAACTGCAATAAAGTAAAACTCGAGCTTTCAACAGAAAATTTGAAATAAAACCTATTCCTATTTTGCTTAATATTTCGCTTACCGCGAACAATCGCTTCTGATATTGTTGGTCCGTTTTTCGCGTCGGATTTGACGCACAATTCCACCGGCTATGTTATAAAACAATTGGTTCGTGCTTTTAGTTGTGCACTAGCGAGTTATTGAGCACGTGGGAAGTTTGGAGAGCACTCAAGAAGCTAGAGTTGCCCGAGGCAATACGCTTCTTTCGTGCTCTCCAAACTTCCCACTTGCTCCATTTAACAAATAGATTCCACTTACCGCAAGCCTGTACTTATTCAGCTGGCTAAAGCAGTTACTTTTGTGGACCTTCCTACTGACCTGGCTTCAACAGCGAGTTCATTGATAGATGTTTGTTAAGAAGCCTCATGCTTCAAGCTTGACAAAAAATTTTGGTCCCATTCCAGATGGCATCATTGTCCAATGACTTCTCCTAGTTCCCTTAAGTTGGAATAATGAACATTTTTAATCATCTAATTATGAGCTAGACTGATTATGATAAAAGCATGTTATCCTCCTGGCACTCATTTGAAGAGCATGATCTATGTAAAAATGGCCATGTTCAGAACCTTGGAGTAAATGGTACAAAGGGCCTTGATGGCAGTATTTTTTTTCTGTTTTTTAGCTGGAGTTATACCAACTCGGAAAGAAAAAACTCAAGAGGGTGATAAACTTTACAGGCTCTGATTTGTTGTGGACTCAACTGGGTCTGTGTATTCTGCATTCTGTAGGTGCCAGAGTGAAGCTGATCAAGGATGCAGACATTAAGGTGAATTTTTGTTTGAACTAGATGATTTCTTTCAAATCAAAGAAATTCTGTCACAACTATGTATGCATATTGGAACCCCTAGCCAACACCTACACACAAACCTGTCCCTACATCTGAAAAGAAAGTTTCCAAAAGCCCTTTGATGAAAAAGAAAAGAAAAATAACACCATGTGATAATTCCTGGATTGATTCCTTTCATCCTAGACCCATCAAAGGTAGAAAGGAAATAACTCAAATAGAAAAATTTATTTTGCAAAGAAACTTAGAAAAATTGATTCTTGTTCTGGTATTCTTGTTTTTTTTTTTACCATTTTCCCCAAACTATGATGAGAATGAACATTTTTCTTCACATTTTGATAATAATATATCTCACTTGACCATATTATCTCAAGCTAAGAATTATGTTAAGACAGATTTTAATAAGCTATCAGTGGACAACCTTTCAAATTTTGCTAAAGAATTTCTAAAAGCCTTCACCTTTTCAGACAATGATAGAATGGTTATAGACAAAGCAACTATGGCACAACACAAAAACAAAACCTGCATGAGATGAGACACCTTTTAGTCATGGAGAACAAAATAAAATCTATTTACACCTGACAAAAAACTTTAGAAAAAGATCCTCATACTGATATATCACTCACTATTAAAAATTTCACTGAATAAAAAGAATTTAAAGAAAACCAAGTGTATCCTGAAGCCATAGAACATGTTATAAAGGAAGAAGAAAATGCAAAATGTTACAACTCAGAATTCAGTGAAAAACCACATTGTTCATTTGATCTTCTGGAGCCAGGTCTCCTTGTTAGTAGCAGTTATTTTTGGATAGGAGCAAGTCTAAATGGTATTAGAAAATTTCACTGTTGTGACCCTTCAGTAGAAGAGATAAAATGTCCATTTAAAGGGAGGGACCTTGACCCTAAAATTGCCTTCCTGCTACCAACTGTTAGTGGAAAAAAAGGAGAAAATGGGAATTTTTTTTCTTGGCAAAAATCATCTACATTATTTCCAAGTTCAGATTGGCATGGCAATTTCAGGTTTAAAAACTTGCCATTTTGTTACCAACACAAGTAAAGGGATATTTATTGTTACAATTAACTTTAATGATAAGTTTTGGGAAACTGTTGTAGCAACAGTTTATAGTTCCATCTTTCCTGATGAAAGCCTTATCTCATGACAATTTTTACACAAAAAAAGTTATCCCCAAGTGAAGAAGATCAACAAATTCAGTAAATAAAAGTTTTTGCTTCTGCAGTGTGCTTCTTACTTCATGCTTCTTTGACATAAATTAGTTAAAGCAGCATAAACAAAAATAATTCTATTCAACATTGGTTTTAACAAAAGAGGAATAACTCCTCAAAGAATTCTAAATTGCTTCAATTTCAAAATGTTTCTTTCAACACGAGTTCTTAGTGATGCCACACGACTTAATCTTTCTTACTATTGGGGGAGTACAATCTCAATTCCAACGTGAGGATGAATATTTTGCTTTTCTGGGTACCTTAGAACCCCACACAACACAGTGATCGCCGCGAGGCATATTTCCAATATTTCTGTTAACGAGCTTAGAAATGAGCCAGAAGTACAAAGCACGCTTATTTACAATTGGAAAAGCTGGAATGGGTTATATACTCGCGATTATTACTTAATTTCGAGATATTTGAAGAACATTACGAGATGACGATTTCACAATAGGTAAACCCTATGCCATAGAAGAATTTTATCGGTAGATTTTAGCACTTAAACTTACACTTTCCACGTATCAACATTGCTTTAATCCTTTTCTGATAAAACGGCTGCAAAACAGCGCTGAATTCTCTGAAAAATTGTTTTTGGAAGCCAAATCAATTTTCCGCCATACATTTCTTTGTAGCAATTTGCGTTGCTAGCCCAGTGACGATCCCAGAACCCTTTGCGTATAGCAAAGGGATCCGATTACTAGCAATTCATCCTAAATACATCCTAAATACAGGCCAACATCAAAACCTATCGAGTTTGTTTTCCTTATGAACGTAAAATTTGGTGATTTGCAGCGTTGTGTTGGATGCAGCGGCTACGAAACGTACAAAGTTGTCAAAGGCACGTGCAGAGCCATAGATCTTCTCTTGAAATCTCTTTTACTTTCAGCGCTCTTTTTACCATCGCCGTAGCAGTTCGCTTTATATTTATCAAACTAACCTTGAAAGATGGTTCTCTTATCTGCAGTAGCTGATTCATCACCGCATTCCACTTGGCTCCCCGAGCTGGTGTACCCTTTTTTGTAGTGCCATCAAAAGGGTTATTGGCGATGATTTCCCTGACAAGAATTTTATCATGTTCTTCGGTCCAGTACATGCTGTTAAATACAATTGAGAACCTACCTAGATTGATCCAAAATCAACCTGAAATCAAATTTAACCCGTAACATTTACATACCTGCCTGCCGATAAATTTAATTTTTTGCGTTACTTTTTTTGGTCTCAGCAATTGAAAGCGAATAAACTACACATCATTTAGTCGGAAAAAACGGAAAACGATGCAAAGATTCATAAGTAGCGTCTGACAAAGATGTTCTGGCTAGTAAAGTAGTTAGCTTTTGTGCGGCAAGCCACTTTAGTTCGAACGGTAAGTCTCAAAGGCCTGCTGCAAATTTCCTTTGAACCGTTTCTCAAGTACTTTTAGTGATATTAAAAAAGACGATTTCATTTTTCTCTAAAGAAAACACAATCACGTCTTCAGACATAAATAACTAAAATAAATTTTATCGCAAGGAATGAAGATTTCATAGTTGATGTTACTACTTAATTAACGAGTGTAAAACACAGCTCGTGATAGGTCACGGAACAACTGCGAAAGTAACAACACACTGAGATACTTACGGTGATGGCTTTTTGCTGACTGGTTCAGGAACCAACTAAAATACCGAGGTACACAGAAAAACAAATGCAAAAACAAAAAGTGATTTTGCCGCTGTCGACGTGAGCACGACGCCGTCACGCACGATTCACGCAATACATGCAAACAACTTTTATCACTCATGCGCATGCGCTGTTCGAGAAAAATACTTCCGGTCAGCTGCGTCCTCGGCCTCGCTCGCCGTCCTGGATCTTAAAGTCCCTTTTCCTATAACTCAGCCTTAGGGCCTCCTCACGCGAGCCTGAGTTTAATTGTAGCTCGGAGTTGATCACCGTAACGTTTCTTAAATCTCTTTACAATTTACACGAACCGAGTCTGCTCTTCGAGATTGAGCCGGGAACTCAGTTTAATTCGAAGGGGAAGGGTATCATGAGGAAACGTTTCGAGAGGGATAATCGCTCGAGTTCGTTCTATCTATCTTATTCGTCTATACTAAACAGATGAACTGAAAGCGAGAAATTTTGCCCTGAGGGTCTCAATGGGGTTAACCGATGGCCGTAAAATGGTAAAAAATTATGGCCTTTCGGCGTAAAAATTGACCGGCAGAGTTTAACGATTACACAAAAAAAGGAAGTTAACTGTCGAAGCCGGAACCATTCTTCTTTACCGTGGCGAAAGCTTGTTGACCTGAAACGGATCATGCCATCTAGGGCGAAGAATGCCCATTGGTCAGGGACGATAAACTGTCGTGAGATTTCATTCATCCTAATAAACAAGTTTTATCGAGTGAAAATATTTTTATTCAGTATCTAGCTGTGCGCGGTTTGTTTTGTTCTGTAAAGCAGCCACTAAGACTAATCGGGTCTCTGTAAATATATTATCTACGGTTTTTGAAGAACTATCTGTGAATTGACGTTTATCAAAAACTAACAAAATTATACCACTTAAGAGACTAAAGGCATACAACCAGACTCTTTTCTTTCCTTGCGAAGAAAAGCTGTTCGTCCAGTTGACAAATTTACGTGGTTTGTAGAAGTTAACTCTGCTAGCTGTTTATCTTCGTTAACATTTGTTTCAGAGATATATTTGAGGAGAAGAACCAATAATTTTGAATCAGTTTGAAGGTGCTTCGAGTCCATACAAATTCACTACAGGAATCTCGCATTTCATGCAAATTATGCGATTATTTTCAAATAATTTTCGAGATAGATGGGGATTTTTAGGAGAAATTTCGAGGTTTTTTGAGATAAAAATGAGATTTGTCGACATTTTCTGGAGAATTTCCCGATAGATTGCTGGGCCATTTTCGGGATTTCTGTGTCCAGATAATTTTGCATAACTCGGCGGTCTTTTCTTCAACTGTGGTCCGAAGGTCCTTGTTCTTTTTCGTCACCCTTGCCAATACATCACTGGCAAATAATTTTGTATTGATCATTTCTTCCAGTCAATTTTCTCCAAATTACAGCAATTGAGAAAAATAGGTTTGTGACTCCTGCGCATGTCTTGCAAAACTGGTGATTGCGTTAGTGCCGAAGTTATATTAGATCTTGCAAAACTTAGCAAATCAACTACATTATTCTACTGTTTATAACCTAATTGATCATGGAAATGATGTTCAAGTTTACAATGCTCAATCGAAAATTTCTCTATATCTTTGATACAATACACTTGTATTTCTGGCTCTCTGAAAGCTTATAGTTACCAAAAAATCCTTCCTCCCCAAGAATACTTTTTTCAATTCAGTTTTACAACATAAATCTTACAAAACGGGGTGTGTTATGCGGCCCCTCCTCCAACCTTTCTCCGAACTGTACCATTTCAATCATGTGGTTCATGGTTCATGATCGAGTGAATTTACTTTAATGAACGTCAACGTCTACGCGTTTAACACGAGACTAGTTATAAGCCAAATCCTTTTCAGTAAAAAACAAAAAGTTTACTTGATAATTGTGGTTAATTATAAGAGGAAATTATGTATTTCCGGGTATTAGAACGTTACGATGTCTTTCTGGGTGGTAATTCAGAGCAAATCGAAGTTTGCTGATAAAAAAAAAAATTATTCTAGATTCTCCAAGCTGGGATCTTGATTTTTCCATTCAAAGTTAATGGCTAGCAAAAAAAATATTACTGACTCATACTTGCCGGGCAGGTACTGAATAGCATCTATTTTTTCCCACGAAGATTAGTTATTAACCAAGTATCACCCTTCAGATCTCATTTTGCTCTCCGAGGAGGAAAGAAACATGTTTTGAAAATTTGTTCCTTGAATCCTCAGTGAGTTGTCTTTGTCTCACAATGTATTGAATGCAATGTTCGCCAGTCAGCATTATTGATTATGATCTGGTTCGCGGGAGACTATACCCAAATGGCCTTAGGCAAATCATCTGACCTAAAGCTAGCTCGTACGAGAATGAAACAAATATTTATTCAATTTAGCAAAGGTAAAATACTGTAACATCAAGTTGTACCAGCAGGAACGTTAAGTATATCGCACCATTATTTATATTACGATTAACAATAGTATTGCTGTAAGTATTATTAGCTCTGTAGCGTTGTACATTGTTAAGTTTGGTGGTATTCTTAGTGCTAATAGTGTTGCAAAAATTAGTGTAAATCAATATGATAGTACCACATTTCATTAGCTCTGAGATGTCCTGAGGTTTCCGAGTGTTTTGAGCAGAGTAATCTGTTATACTTGCAAACAGCGAACCTACTAAAGCCGCCATTCCTCGAGCCGATGAAAATTGTGAAATCTTGTATACAAATATGAATTGGTTATTCAAAAGGAGGCCTGTTGATGCTGAATTTGTAATCATTACAACGCAAATTGTACACAATATCAAACATGAATAAATATTTAGGTTTGCAAGACGAACCTTCGTCGAGGGTGCGTTGGTCCATGGTGAGAAAAATAGAAAAATATGAATGTTGACTGGGTTATCATTGTCTCGCGCAAGGCCTGCCTCATCTATAAATAATAAAATGCACTTGATCGATATCATTTTACCTTGTCTGGAGAGACATGAAGTGTAATTAACCAAATCGATTTTGAATAAATTACATCCATAGCAACGGATTTTCCACCTAATTATGAGGAGATCTGCTTGGAGTAAAGTAGAATAAACTTATTGCAGCTTATTCCGAATAAATATTGACAAAATCAGGGACGGATCCCGTGAAATTATCCTCACGTGCCTTGTAAGTAGGAGTCACGCTTACTCTGTATGACTTCCTGTACCGTCACGTGGTCTAAAATGAGCAAGAAGGCGACTAACCAATGAAAAGGTTTAGATTTAAAAAACAAAAATCCCAAAATTCAAAATTGAAGCCTAAAAATATTGAATAAATATTGCAAATGAGAGCCAGAAGATAACCTGACTTAATGTATCAGCTTAATACACCAGCTTATATAAAATAATAACGGAAAAGAAAAGTACAAAAAATTACGAAGACAGATGAGCAAACAGGAGTGCCTGACTTATGAGTAAATTTATATGTAATTCTGTTCAGCGGTTATCCTTGGTTCGCTCATGCGGGGGAATTTAAATAAGGCGCACGCGCTCAAACTTCCAAGCCGAGCATAGCGTGCACCATTCAATAATATTAAAACTTTTTTTATTTGTGTCCGCTTTCTTTGAAAAGCGAGATTTCCGCCTATGTTGTATGGTAGACATGCGAATAGATGATTCCACGGTTACTCCCACTAGGGAAGAAGTCAAGGACATGATTTTGACATCTAGTTCAGAGACAGCTTTGAACAATTCAAGCGTACAAGCTCTTGGCTGTGGAAACAATTGGTTGAATGGCATTAAATGGCCGCCTGAACAGCACACAAAGACTACGAGTGACCGAAGAGAAGATACTACCTTCAACGATTTAAAGCTTAATCCCTCCTTAGTTACTCACGGTGGAAGGGTACTGAAAAAACCTGCACGTTATATGGAATCCGACTCGGACGAGGGAGCTAGTGCGCGAAGGAAGTTTCCTTCGGTGAAGAAAAGAAAGCGTCTGCTCTCTGATTCTTCGCGTCCAAAATGTAAAAATGGTAGAACAAAGTCTCTGGAGAAAGATTCTTCTGATCTATTTTCGAATCATAGATTAAAACTCCTGTCCTTTAAGCGGCAGAACGGCGAAAGTTTAGACTTGAAGAACTCGTTGGACCTCAGATCGACGCTTGGCGTGGTGAGTTCTTTGTCAACATCTCCTTCTCGCACTCAGCCAGGTGAATCTGTTTGCGTGAAAAGCACGACAAGTGAGCTGCAAACGGAGTCAGAGAGTTCAAATTCCTTTGAGACACCTTTAAAACGCAAAAGAGGTAGACCTCCGAAAAATCTAACACAATCTTTAGATAAATTACATTCAGTTGACATTCGTTCGAATTCGCCACATGGCAATTGTGAAACAAGTGCCACGAAAGCATCTCTCGCGTCACCTTCAACTTCAAAATTTGGTAAGAAAAGAAAACGGCCGAAAGGCATACGCTATTTGCAGGAGAGTTGTTTGTCGTCGAGCAGCGACGAGAATGAAAAAGCGCCGTCAACTCCCAGGAGAAGGGGTCGACCACCGAAGAAATTGTCGAGTTGCGAAACAAAACACAAAATATTCAGGACACCGAATGGCGTTAAAAAACCTAGGGTGCGGCCGCATTTGAAAGCTGTTGACAAACTTTCGTTCATGAAACCTTCTAAGAAATCGCTGGACTTAATGCTACCTTCACCGGAAACGTTCGTGACCGGGGTAAACTCAAAGTTTGTTGGGGTTAATGGCTGCAGGATCCTCTCGTCTGGGAAGGAGGTTAAACGCAAACGTGGCCGTCCACCAAAGCCGAAACCCGAGCTTTCTTTTGAATCAGACAATATTCTAAGTGATGCGTTTCATTTTACTGGAGAAGACGAACAGAGCGATGGTTCTCCGACATTGAAACGTAAGTTGAAGAAGTTGAAGTTTCAAAAAAAGCATGACAAAAGACCTCTTGGAACTTGTGCTCTGAAGAAGAGAGATGCTACGGAAAAACTCAAACGTAAGGTCTTGAATAAAGCCAGAAAAAATCTTCAGGTAAGAGCTCAACTTAATGTGTCACAATCTGATTGTGAGCCATTGATGGAAACTAAACAAAGTTCTGAAAATGTCCACAAACGTAGAAGAAGAAACAAAG